GCCTGCTCGCAAAGCAAGCTTTAGGGTAACGCAAGTACCTGCTAGATAGTCATAGTTATGGTTTTGAAAACTTTCGCCTGAAGTGGAAATGGACATATCGCAACTTTTCAAATTACAAGATAAGTTAACGATAAAAGCCGAGGTATTCTTATTGAAAACGGATGCGTAGACTGGTGTCTTGGGTTTTTAGCTCACCTGTCACAAAGTGACATGGTGAGCTTTTGTGTTTGCTTTTCGTCCGGCGTCGGTCCGTCTGGCGTCAGTCCGTTAACTTTTACTTTAAACGACATCTCATAAACCGCTAAGCCAATTTCATCTAAACTTCACAGCAATGTTCCTTTGGTAGTCAACTTTAAAAATTGTTCAAAGGATTTGATTCCAAGCAGAACTCTGGTTTCCATGGCAACCAAAAGAGAAAACTTCAAATATTTTCTTTTTAAAAACATCTTCCAGTGGGTGTCTACCAAATTTGTTCAAATAAAAAACCCCAAAGAGCTAAAACTAAGATATTTAGCATGAAAAATCTTCTAATGCATGTCTACCAAGTTTGTTCAAATAAGGGCCCTTGGGTTAAAATTGGCCCCGGCCCGGGGGTCATTGATTTCCCTTTTATGTGTATAGTAAAAATTAAAAAATCTTCTAATAAAATACGCAAAGAGCTAGAGTAAAGATACTAAGCATGAAATATCTTCTAGTGAGTGTCTACCAAGTTTGTTCAAATAAAAGCCCTGGGGTCAAAATTGGGGGGTATTGTTTTTAACCAGGTTTTCCGAAGGAAAAAACTGGTTATTAGATTTGAGGTATGTCGGCGGGCGGGCGGGCGGGCGTAAACAATTTCTTCTGTGCGCATTTCCTCCTACATTTCTCAACGGATTTTGACCAAACTTTCACAAAAGCTTTGTCATCAAGTGCCCTGGCGCATATTGTCGGGGTTTTGCGATTAGATAATATTTGACCTAATTATGGCCCTTTGTTTTTTTTCCTTATATAAAATATATAGTGAACAATTTCTTCTGTGCGCAACTCCTCCTACATTTCTCAACGGATTTTGACCAAACTTTCTCAGAAGCTTTGTCATCAAGTGCCCTGTCACATATTGCCAGGGTTTTGCAATTGGTATATATTTGACCTAATTATGGCCCTTTGTTTTTTTTCCTTATATAGAATATATAGTGAACAATTTCTTCTGTGCGCAACTCCTCCTACATTTCTCAATGGATTTTGACCAACTTTCTTTAGAAGCTTTGTTATCAAGTGCCTGGCACATATTGTCGGGGTTTTGTGAATTGGATAATATTTGACTGAATTATGGCCCTTTGTATATTTTTTCCTTATACAGAATATATAGAGAACAATTTCTTCTGTGCTCAACTCCTCCTACATTTCTCAAACGGATTTTGACCAAACTTTCTTAGAAGCTTTGTTTATCAAGTGCCTGGCACATATTGTCGGGTTTTTGTGATTGGATAATATTTTGACCGAATTATGGCCCTTTGTATATTTTTTCCTTATACAGAATATATAGTGAACAATTTCTACAGTGCACAACTTCTCCTACATTTCTCAATGGATTTTGACCAAACTTTCACAGAAGCTTTGTCATCAAGTGCCCTGGCGCTCACTAAATTCCCATGTTTCTTCCAAGACATCATTCAAGTATTTTTTTAAAATTGTGAACATACTTTTCTTGATATCGCACAAAACACCACACGCCAATATTGTTGACAAAAGAAAATGACAAGAGACGCAAAAATGCAAAAATTAATCAAAAATAAAGTACTGTTTACCTTTCTAAAATATTTGGGAAAAAAAGGCGAATAGACAGTATAAAATTTCTCAATCATTTTTGTTTGAGGAATATTAAAAAAGCCATAATTCCTCCTAAAAGTTCAATTAAAAACAAATGCCCCTTCATGACAAAGCTTCTGTGAAATATTTTGCTGAAAACCTGGTTGCATCGCATTGCGATGTTCCTTGTTTTGTCCTATATGTATTTAGTAAACATCTTCTAATGGGTTTCTACCAAGTTTGTTCAAATAAAAGCCCCTGGTTTAGAATTGGCCTTGGCCCAGGGGCCTATATACAGGTAAGCCGTAGCGATTTCAGGGCCATCATGGCCCTCTTGTTTTTTTTTAGGAACCATAATAGGACAGGGAACCAGAATAAATGGCAGCAGTGTATAAAATACCAAATGACAGTTTTAAAACTGAAAATGCCAAATGAAAATGAACGATTATTTTATACTATTTCACTGTAAAAGTAAATTGAGCTCGCTTTGAGGCTTTGCCTTTTTCATATTAGTGTGAATTGTCTATGGAGAGCCTGATGGAGAGAAACATCTGTCACTCATTTTAAATCAAAGATTACCATTTTTTTCGCTCTACAGAACATGTACAGTACTACTGCCATAGAGAAATGAATTTTTTTTATCAAATTGGGACTTCAAAACTTTTATATTGCAGCCAGTAAGTTCAGACTTCACAAATGTTCCACTAGACCCTGATCAGCCGAAGAGGAAAAAAGTACCAAGAAGACTGATTCATTTTAGTGATGGGGTATTGGAGGAATATTCCACTGATGAGGAAGATGAAGCACCTCCCCTACCCCCACCTGTTGACCCAGTAAGTTAATAGTTTAAACATTATTACTTTATTTGTTATTTATTTAAGCTTGGTTGTGAAGAAAGATTTTTAAACTGTTCCCTAGTAGGGATTGAAACCATGATCTGTTAGTTAAGAGGCAAAATGTTGACCACTTAGTGACTACACCTGGGCTCTCCTTAAAAAAACTTGTTTTGTTGTTATTGTTTACCTGTACTGTATGACTATGATATTCTTTGTTTATTTATTTTTAGAAAACACTGACATGGGGGCCATGGTTCTGGTTTTACATTTCCACAGCAGCATTCAAAACACTTGGAGGTAGTGTGACATTTTGTTACAAACAAGTTAACCTTTTGATTTTTTATATCCAATACATTCATGACGGCATGATGTTTAGCGGCAAAATGTATTTTCATTGAAAAGTTATGAAACAGAAAGTTTGTTTGTTTTGCATAGAAAACCACAATTTATATTTTGAAAACTAGCAAGTAAACAATTTATGTTTGAGGCTATGCCCCGCATGAAAATAATACCTCTAATGGTCATATAATGAAACTTTCCTTTTCTTTATTACACTGATATAAACATATATAATTTATTCATAAATTTCCTGGTGAAATAAATAGTTGATGAAATTATTCTTTTTTATATTTCAGTGGCAGATTCCTGTGGTGAAAAATTAGCTTGGTTCTTTGGAATTACAACTCCAAAATACCAGTCTGCTATAGATGAGTTTTACAGATTAAAATCCGAGGTAACCATTTTGCTTTCAAAATGTATAGTATTACATAGCTGAAGCAAGTTTTAGCTTTGCCTCAGAAATTAAGCATCATAAGATTTAAAATGATGTTACCCTCTTCATCAGCTAAAATATTGAAACTTGATACTTTTTTGTAACATGTGTTATAGTAAAAATAAGCATGGATTCAAGGGTTGCTTTGTAAACAGTATTAATCAAGCTTAAACTTTTCTCATAAAAAATCATTGTAATATTTGGGGGAAAAGGAAACTTTTAGAATTCAGACTTATTTAACTTTCTAGCTCAAGATGTAAGTTCAAGGAACCATATATAAAATATTCTGAAATGATACTTCATGTAAAGATTTAGGGGGAATAAGACCTATAGATGCTTTTATTCATTATTTGGCTGATATACATGTATTAGTCATTTTAATAAGTAGGAGGACTTTGCAGCAATATGCTACTTTTTGGTTAATGATTGAGCTTACTTTTTAAAGATCCTGTATTTTGTGATCAAAGTGGTATACCACACTTAGTGAAATTATATATATGTACATAATTATGCAAATAAAACAATTTTCAAACATCGAAAAATTTGTAAAATATGTACTGCAAATATTTGTGCATATAATATGTAATCATTAAAATATATGCATTCATTTCTTATTGTAAAATTTTACTTAAACTTTATAGAAAATAATTGTTTTATTACCTCTCTTTATTTACATGAAATGTTAAATTCGGTAATATCTTTATAAATAATGCTTTTTGGAACCTACAATAGTGATAAATTTTAATTTGAGCATCATATTTATGATTTAAAACCATAAGAAAATTGTGTTACAGGATCTTTAAGAGTATGCAGTTTTAATTGCCTCCGCGTAGTCTGATCAGGATCCATGCTGTTCGCTATCAGTTTCTCTATTTTAAATAGGGTTGGTAAGCGAACAGCATGGATCCTGATCAGACTGCCCGGATGCGCAGGCTGGTCTGGATCCATGCTGATCGCAAACCCATTATGTTGGTTTTGTCGTGACACGGCTCATATGTAAATCTTCTGTTCTAGGAAGAAAAGAGTTAGAATATAAATCTTTTGTTCTAGGAAGAAAAAGAGTTAGAATATAAATCTTTTGTTCTACGAAGAATAAGAGTTAGAATATAAATCTTTTGTTCTAGGAAGAAAAAGAGTTAGAATATGAACAACGAGCACGGGAGAAACTGCAAGACTTATCAAGCATTGATGTCAAAGTAATAGATCAACATAGAGATAAAGGTTCAGGGGACAGTCCCACAGAGAAATTCTGATGCTTCTTGTATTCACTTAATGGTTGCCTTAACAACATTCTGATCTGATTAAGCTTTCCAATGTGATGGACATAAACTACTTAAAGAATGCTGACAAATTTTGTGTTCTGTTTGATGAGATTTGGGGCAAAATGCATAAAAGTTGTCTCTCAACTGAAAAATGTATTGTAAATTTTGTTGTTACATGAGATACTGTAATTAAGGTGACAAAGGGTCATTTTTAGCTCGATTTTATGTAAATAAACATATATATATTTATATATATATATATATATAGAGAGAGAGAGAGAGAGAGCTGTCCTGCGGGATTGAGAGTCGATGTCAGTGTACATGTCAGCATTATCCCATGGTTTAGTGTTTGCTCCACATTTTCTCAGAAGCAATTGAGACATAACTAAAACTTGTTAATGATCATTACCTACTCTTGTAGAGATGAGTACATAACTCTTGTCAGGGATTAAAAAACAATGTTTTGCCCCTTTTGTTGACTTAAGTTTGGAAGTTTGTTGTATTACCACAAAATCTTTCCACTTAATCCTTTAATGAAATTATATATGAACTTAAAACTCACTTCTAGGCAAAGTGATATAGCTACATACATGTTATAATCACATGCTAAAATATTAGATTGATAATCTTTTATTTAATTATATTTATTGATTATAAGATTTAAATTACAAAATTAAGCATCTAACCATGTGAAGTCTGTTTTAATTCTGTTTAGTTTTCAATTATTAAAAATATGGCTTTCAGCAGAAAATGTTTGTATAACCCTCTATGGTAAAGCCTTTTTCAGGTTGTCCATTATTTTTCACCTGTTCATGTTTCATTATTTAAATAGTTAAAGAGTTATTTATGTCATTTATTTAACCTATATCATATTTTTTGTATGATCATATTATTTATTTTTTGATATGAGTACATGCATAGTAATTGTTGGAGGGAAAGTTTCAATTTTTGATTCGGGGATAGTGTATATTCAAATTTATCATATATGCCAGAGATCTTCTGAGGAAGCAATTTTGTGCCATTGGCACTAACAAAATGAAAAGGGCGCAGAAAAATTGGAAGCAAATGGCCATTGGTGTGTCTAAATCTGTGCGGAACTTGTATCAGCACGAAAACAAAACCTATTGATTAGGTTAATTTGTCATCAAGTCAAAACTGGTACAAACAGCAACAGGTTTTATACTGATGTCACAAATCGCTCTGTACAATAACATGGCCTCAAATCAGTTGTGAGAAAAATAATAACAATTTTTTTATTCAAGCAGTGGCATTAAAATTACACTTAATTGGAGAAACAATTTTTTAACACTTCCTCTCTGTAAATTTGTAATTGATAAGCTGATAAATGTTTCAAATGTCATGGAATGAAATGTGTAGTAAATGTTTGTTGTCATTTAATTTAAAGCATTCACAATATTAAAATTTCTTTTGAGTCTTGTGCATTTGTAAATTGAAACAAAAAAATCCAGTTTGTCACTGTTGTTGTAGTATGTACTCAAAGTGCCAATAATTGATAAGAGAACATTTTTAATAACGGTCCCACCATTTACGGTTATCAATCACTGATGATTAGAAAAATCGTTTTGGTCAAAGTTTAATTATTTTCCCATGGCCCATTCTTTGTACAAAATTACCCATCATATTTAGACCAAGCGGACCCAGGGCCCAGCACTTTTAAATTCTCGGCAGATCTCTGTATAATACCAGTTAGATTACTGTATATAGTTCCATTATTGACATGAATCAGAACTTTATTTATTTAGGTTGAAATTAGTCATGCCATAAAAAATTATTTTATGTATATGCCGTTGACCCGTATTTTCGGGGGTTTAATGTTTTAAATTAAAGCCACCGTTTTTAAATTAATAGTAAATGGAAGACAAAAAACATCAACAGTGAGTAAAAACTATGACAAACAAAAAAGGAACCGTTTAAAATACGAAAATAAACTATTTCAGTAAGAAATACTAATCTTTCTACTTTCACTATCGGTAGTCTGTGTCGCTCGGAAGCTGTCTCATATTTTCGGGGATTTTGATTGGATGGCCTCGTTTCGGTAATTACGTTGCGCGCGCACAAATTCTATACTGCACTCAATATATTTCGGGACATTGGTTTAAGTTAGGTATAAGTTCCGGTGATGAATTTTAAGGCGAAGATACGTTTTTCGTTCTTTTTTGTTGCTGTGTAGTTGAAAATAACGTATAAAAATGAGAAAAGAAAAAATTATAATTGTAATGACATTGACAGATTTATATTTATGTGTTTAATATGTTTAGTACGAATTCTTATGGTAGTAATTTATTGAAATAAGTGTTGGCGAAAACTTGATGCTTTTTTGGAGAGTCCAATCAATCGCACGAGCTGTCATTCACAACTGGACATGACGCCACGAAAATATGAGAACCCCCGAAAATATGAGAACAAGGCATATATTCAAGTACCTTTTTTAGGCATGTATGAGTATTTGGTATGTCATGGCATTTCGACAGACCATCATGACTGAGAAGTAAAGGTCTGTGACTTTGAACAATGTGTCCATAACCTCCGTTGGTTAATGTTCTTTCACAGACTTTGTATTGTTTCATTTGAAGAAGCTATCCAGCTAATCTGCATGAATTAATGCTTAGAAGGGTGTTTAAGATCTTCCTGTGACAGTAACACTAGAAGTTGGCCATATGACATTAAATGTATCAGTATGATTTATAACCCAACCAGTCAGTGATATCATGATGTTTAGAATTTATGTTCATAGTAATCATACTATAAAGTAATCATACTAGAAAGGTTTTAAGCAAAAGAGATTTTTTATGAGCATATAAATGATAGGCCACACATTATTTCAGAAGTTACACTATGTTGTTTGTTTATAAGAATATTAAAAGAATAGTATACTTTTAATGTTCTTGTCCCTTGGGATCATTGTTCCCAGCACATTAAGTGTTGAAGATTGAGTACCAGTTTAGCCGGTGTTTGGTGTGTGTGTGTGGGGGGGGGGGAGTCATGTGAGAGATGTTGCACTTTTCCATTATCCCTAATGAACAGACTCAATCAATTTGGGTCTGCCATTTTCATGTGATTTTGTGTTTTCATCACTTCCGAGGGATCCCCTCTGTACCAGATTTATCATACTACATTGTACTAGAAAAAAAAAAGGGTGCAAGTGTGTATAGATGAATATAGTACAAGTTATTAATTGACAAGTTTTCTGTTTTGTAAACTTTTTGGTTTCAGATATTTACATTTATAATGTGAAATTTCTTTATGTTATTCTTATGTGAAAAGTTCTAAAATTCAAAGTTAGAAGATACTACTATTTTAAAAGTTAATTGTTTTATGTTATTTTATTTAAATTTCACATATTTTTGTAGCAAATTTATTTGTTTATTTATTTTCTTATTACATAAATTTTTTTGATAAAGATGAAAAAATTATGTTATTTGTTCATTTTACACCTTTATACAATGGACATTAACTTTTTGTCTCCCCCTTTTTTGAGGCCTCAAGCAGTGTAAAAATGCCCTATTTAGGCCCAAGACACTGGTTTTCGTTTGAGAAATGTTGTTGTAAAAAGTGACCACTTTTTTGGCGCCGTCCCCCATTCCAATGTTACATCAGGGGGTGCCAGAAGGGGGATGTGCCCCCTTCTGTTTGGGGTTGGGTTTAAGGGGGGGGGGGGGGGGCAAAGTACCCCTCATCGCCAAGAAAATTTTGGACATGTGACAGGCTAAAATGGCCTCAGGTCGATCTTAGGGTAACTAGTAACCGACGCTGAAAAGCCTTTTTAGCTCACCTGTCATAAAGTGACAGGGTGAGCTTTTGTGATCGCTTTTCGTCCGGCGTCCGTCCGTCCTTAAACTTTTACTTTAAATGACATCTCCTCATAAACCACTAAGCCAATTTCCTCCAAACTTCACAGGAATGTTCCTTTGGTGGTCATCTTTAAAAATTGTTCAAAGAATTTAATTCCATGCAGAGCTCTGGTTGCCATGGCAACCGAAAGAAAAAACTTTAAATATCTTCTTTTAAAAAACCCTAAGAGCTAGAGCTTAGATATTTGGCATGAAACATCCTCTAATGAGTGTCTACCAAGTTTGTTCAAATAAAAGCCCTGGGGTCAAAATTGGCCCCGCCCCAGGGGGTCTTTGATTTTCCCTATATGCATATAGTAAAAACTTAAAATATCTTCTTTTAAAGAACCCAAAGAGCTAGAGCTAAGATATTTAGCATGAAACATCTTCTAATGAGTGTTCAAATAAAAGCCCTGGGGTCAAAATTGGCAACGCCCCAGGGGGTCATTGATTTTCCCTGTATGCATATAGCAAAAACTTAAAAAATCTTCTTTGAAAAAACCCAAATAGCTGGAGTTTAGATATTAAGCATGAAACATCTTCTAGTGAGTGTCTACAAAGTTTGTTCAAATAAAAGCCCTGGAGTCAAAATTGGCCCCACCCCGGGTGTTATTGATTTTCCTTATATTTGTATAGCAAAAACTTAAAAATCTTCTTTGAAAAAAACCAAATAGGTAGAGTTTAGATATTAAACATGAAACATCTTCTAGTAATTGTCTACAAAGTTTGTTCAAATAAAAGCCCTGGGGTCAAAATTGGCCCCACCCCAGGGGTGTCATTGGTTTTTACTATATGTGTATAGTAAAAACTTAAAAAAATCTTCTTTTAAAAAAACCCCAATGAGCTAGAGCTTAGATGTTTAGCATGAAAACATCTTCTTATGGGTGTCTACCAAGTTTGTTCAAATAAAAGCCCTTGGGTTAAAATTGGCCCTGCCAGGGGGGGGGGGGGGAGCGGCGGAAGGAGGGGGGTAGATCGTTGTTTTTCATTATATGTGTGTAGTAAAAACTTAACATCGTGAAACAGCTTGTAATGGGTGTCTTCCAAGTTTGTTCAAATAAAAGCCCTGGGGTTTAAACTGGCCCCGCTCCTAGTGCCTTTATACAAGTGAGCGACCTCAGGGCTATTATGGCCCTCTTGTTTATCTATCTCAATTCATTGAGGAGTTGCAGCACTTTGAAATCAGTTTTGGTGGGGAAAAATGCAAAATAGTGATTTTTGTCAATTTCGAGACGTCCCCCCGTTGCCATGGTAACAGGAAATTTACGATACAGAGGCTATGGTGTAGCCAAGTTTCATCAGTATTGAAGCATTTTTCATAGTTTCATAGCAGTTTGAACTTATTACAGGAGGCTTTTCAATGAAAACGGCCATTTTTCGCAATATGCTCCTGGGGTAAAAGATTTAGGCGTTTTTCTCAGAGGGGAAAGTTGATATAGATGAACTTTTTAAACAGTGTGAGGTCAAACAGGAATCTCGAAAGTCACTTGAAAGTGACATGTCCATCCAGGTGTTAATTATAAGGGCACAGATAAATCTCAAAATAACTACATTTTGCCATAATTGTGTTCAATTTTATATTTTACAATGCAAAACTAATTAATGCTCCATGTGAACCATGGAGATTTCTTGAAATATCTCTGAAATGTAACTGTAGCATTCAATTTTTACAGGTGGTGCTACATTTTTATAATTTAGCTAGTCTTTAGCTCACCTGTCACAAAGTGACAGGGTGAGCTTTTGTGATCGCTTTTCTTCTGGCGTCCGTAAACTTTTACTTTAAATGACATCTCCTAATAAACCACTAGGCCAATTTCATCCAATTTTCACAGGAATGTTCCTTTGGTGGTCACCTTTAAAATTGTTCAAAGAATTTAATTCCATGCAGAACTCTGGTTGCTATGGCAACCAAAAGAAAAAACTTAAAAAATCTTCTTTTAAAAAACCCAAATAGCTATAGCTAGAGCTTAGATATTTGGCATGAAACATCTTCTAGTGATTGTCTACCAACTTTGTTCAAATAAAAGCCCTAGGGTCAAAATTGGCCCCGCCCCGGGGGTCATTGATTTTCCTATATGCATAAAGTAAAACCTTAAAAAATCTTCTTTTAAAGATCCCAAAGAGCTAGAGCTAAAATATTTAGCATGAAACATCTTCTAATGGGTGTCTACCAAGTTTGTTCAAATAAAGCCCTGGGGTCAAAATTGGCCCCGCCCCAGGGGGTCATTGATTTTCCTTATATGCATATAGTAAAAACTTAAAAAATCTTTTTTTAAAGAACCCAAAGAGCTAGAGCTAAGATATTTAGCATGAAACATGTTCTTGTGGCTGTCTACCAAGTTTGTTCAAATAAGAGCCCTTGGGTCAAAATTGGCCCCACCCCGGGGGTCATTGATTTTCCTTATATGTGTATAGCAAAAATTTAAAAATCTTCTTTGAAAAACCCAAATAGATAGAGTTTAGATACTCAATCATGAAACATGTTGTTGTGTGTGTCTACAAAGTTTGTTTAAATAAAAGCCCTGGGGTCAAAATTGGCCCTGCTTTGGGGGACTTTGATTTTCCTTATATGTGTATAGCAAAAACTTAAAATCTTCTTTGAAAAAACCCAAAGTTTGTTCAAATAAAAGCCCTGGGTCAAAACTGGTCCTGCCCCAGGGGTGTCATTGTTTTTAACTATAAGTGTATAGTAAAAACTTAAAAAATCTTCTTTTAAAAAACCCAAGGAACTAGAGACTAGAGCAAAAAACATCTTCTAATGGGTGTTCTAATGGGTGTCTACCAAGTTTGTTCAAATAACAGCCCTTTGGTTAAAATTGGCCCTGGCCGGGGGGGGGGGGTGGAGTCATTGATTTTCCTTTTATATGTGTATAGTTAAACTTAAAAAATCTTCTTTTAAAAAACCTAGAGCTAGAGTTTAGATACTAATCATGAAACACCATTGAGTGAGTGTCTACCAAGTTTGTTCAATAAAAACCCTGGGGTAAAAATTGGACCCACGGTGGGGGGGGGGGGGTCATTGTTTTTTTATTATACGTGTGTAGTAAAAACTTAACATCTTCTTTTAAAAAACTCAAAGACCTAGAGCTTAGATATTTAGCATGAAACATCTTCTGATGGGTGTCTACCAAGTTTGTTCAAATAAAAGCCTTTGGGTTTAAACTGGTCCCGCTCCGGGGGCCTATATACAGGTGAGCAACTTCAGGGCCATCATGGCCCTCTTGTCTCCATAGTTCGACTTTCTCAAGGACAAAATTTCGAGCTATTGCTACAGTCCAGTTCTTCATACCTGGACATAACTCGTAGGACAACCCCTTCAAGTAGAGATTTTAAGGCCAAGTATTTGAATATTGCTTGATTTTTAGCTTGACTATTCGATAAGAATAAGTAGAGCTATTGTAGTCACCCGAGCGTCGGCGTCGGCGTAACCACTTATGTTAAAGTTTTTGTAATAGTTTAAATATTTTCAAAGTCCATTGACATATGGCTTTGAAACTTTGCACACTTGTTCACCATCATTACCCCAACCTGTAGACAGGAGGAGGTAACAGTATCAAGCATTTTGACAGAATTATGCACCTTTTTCGACTTAGAATTTACGTTAAAGTTTTTGTAATACCTCAAATATTTTCAAAGTCCATTGACATATGGCTTTGAAACTTTGCACACTTGTTCACCATCATTGCCCCAACCTGTAGACAGGACAGGAGGAGGTAACTCTATCAAGCATTTTGACAGAATTATGCCCCTTTTTCGACTGAGAATTTACGTTAAAGTTTTTGTAATACCTCAAATATTTTCAAAGTCCATTGACATATGGCTTTGAAACTTTGCACACTTATTCACCATCATTACCCCAAACTGTAAACAGAAAGAGGTAACTCTATCAAGCATTTTGACAGAATTATGCCCCTTTTTTGACTTAGAATTTACGTTAAAGTTTTTGTAATACCTCAAATATTTTCAAAGTCCATTGACATATGGCTTTGAAACTTTGCACACTTATTCACCATCAT